TCAATACTCCATAATAATCATGCTCGTCACCTAAACCAGAAGATGATGTACCTTTTACACAAACTCCATAGTTAGCATTTTTCTTGTCTTTACCATAGTCGTATGTGTGAAATATATATCCACGGCAAAAATACATAGGCCAACTAGTAACTTTGATCATCGGACCATGGGCAAGTGACCGTAACCAATTTGGGTATAAATTATCAGCCCAAGTTTTCTCCACCTAGTTGAATTAAGAATAAGGTAACTCCCATAAAATACTCTGCTTATGCCAGTTGTGAGTTTCGCCGTATCCTTGTAATTTCCCATGGTTCCCTCCACACACAACTGTTTTCGGAAAACATTCAACTTCTTTTAAGAGCTCTTCACCTGTACGCAATCTAGGAGGAGTATCATTTACAATTCTTCCTTTTCTGAAATTTTTTTTGTTCCGTCGATAGCTATGATCAGTTGGAAGAAAACAACGATGACAATCAAACCAACTTGTTTTTCTACCATTCTTTAACTGAAATGCATTTGTCTTGTCCAAACAATAAGGACATGCCAACCGACCATGAGTAGTCCACCCAGAAAGCATAGCATAAGCAGGAAAGTCACTTATTGTCCACATAAGTACAGCTCGTAAGAGAAAGTTCTGCTTTGCATAAATATCATATGCCTGAACACCGTTATACCACAAATCTTTGAGCTCCTCTATCAGTGGTTGGAGAAAAATATCGAGACTTCTCTTAGGATGATTTGGACCAGGAACCAGAATTGTTAAAAACATCAATTCTTGTTTCATGCACACCTCTGGTGGTAGATTATACGGAGTCAAGATTACGGGCCATAATGAATAGTTATGTCCTCACATACCAAATGGACTAAAACCATCTGTGCATAACCCAAGGTAAACATTTCTTGGTTCAGATGCAAAGTCAGGGTATACTTTTTGAAAATGTTTCCATGATTCTCCGTCAGAAGGATGACACATTTCTCCACCAGTCATCAAATGTTCTGAATGCCATCTCATATATTTTGCGGTAGCCTCAGACTGATACAATCTCTTTAATCTAGCAGAAATTGGCAAATAAAACATCTGACGATATGCTATTTTTTTTTGCACAGGCCTTTGAGTAGGACGGAATCTATCTTTATTACAAAACCGACAATTCTCTTCGTTTGCAGCATCTTTCCAGAATAACATGCAATTATCTTGACAAACATCAATTTTCTGATACGGCATACCCAAAGACCGCATAAGCTTCTTTAAATCGTAGTAAGATTCCATTGCTTTATTATCTTCAGGCAAGTATTCTTTCATCATCTGACAAATCGCATCCATACAATTATGTGGTAGATTATAATCTGTCTTCAAATTCATGAGTCGAACTGCTAAAGAGAGTTGTGAAAGACCTTCTTTACAACCATTATAAATCGGTTGTTTTGCAGCATCCAAAAAATCGTAAAACTTCTTTGCTTCAGTATTAGGTTCTTCTTCCATATTTTGATCAAATCCTGACTCCGTACTACCAAATGCATCAGAAATCATTGCCACATAAGGATTCACTGGTTCAGTGTGAGACTCAGATCCAAAAGAATCTTCAACAGAATGACTGTTTAAAATATTATAATCTTCTCCATGAGAAATCCAAACCCAATAATTAGGCATAAATCCCCTATTATATAAATGTCTCGAGACAGTATCTTCCGGCAATAAAGGTTTGCCATTCTCACATTTGAAGCATGGACAAAAAAG